GGACAGCCAGATTATTGACTAGTTAGGCAAAAAATCGCCGCATGCTTTTGATAAGTTAGGCAAAAATGAAAAATTTGCACAAAATAAAAATTCAAATTCGAATGCAAAAAGATCAAAACCGACTCAGTCGGTGCATTTCATAAAAGTCCACCCAACCAAACGGTTGTAGTGGATCAAATGTTAACCGGACCCCGTCCGGGAGAAAGAAATTGTTAATTAACCCGGCTCCTTAATCGGTAAAAACAAGGATACTCGGCACGCAATCCGGAAAAAGTAAGTTTTGGCATACAGCCGCTGAATAAAAGAAAATAAAAAGCAAAGATTGGCATTCTGCCGCTGAGTGGTCACTTCTGGCCTGCAGACGGAGCCTCCTGGTCCTCCTCCTTTTCCTCTTCATCTGAGGCTATCTCTTGTGCTTCACCAGGACCAGGAAGCTCAGGCGCGGATGGCTCGTTGTTGGAGTTGACCCAGGCTTCGAAAGAGGCAGGCTCTGGCTCGCCTTGTTCTCTCAAGTACACCACGTACTCGGCATAGCTGTGCGCCAGTGCCCAGATGCTATAATCCGCGTCTGGGTACAAGGAAGCCCAGGCAATCTTCATACAGGCGTCATTATCAGCATCACTCTCAGCAACAAGGCGGTTTTGCTCCGCCTCCAAGGTTGCTGCAAAGTTTGTCTGAGCTTGAGCAGCATCCTTCTCCAGCCTCTCAACCTTGGCCTTCAGTTTGCCAAGGTCAGTCTGGGCCTTCTTGAGCGCCTCATCAGCCTTTTTGGCGCTCTCGTCCGCCTTTTTCTGGGCCTCCTCCGCCCCCTTCTTTGCCGTCTCAGCATCCGTCGCCCGCTGGTTGGCCGCCTTCAGATCTAACTCCAGCTGCTGGATTTTAGACGCCTGTGTCATAATTATTGCTTTAGTTTCAAGTTCATTTAAGATAGTTGAGTATAAAGCAACATTATCAGCGTCTGTGGCGGACTTCTTGGCCCTTTTTACCTCTTCCCGTTTGCGGGAATAAGGACGCTTGAGCCCGTCTACCTGCAACATAGCCTGCAAAAAGTCAGGCGGCATAAGTATTGCAGGTGGAATAAAACACTTGGAAAAAATAAAATTGAATTAACAACTCTTACCTGAGCTAGAAGGGATAGAATGCGTTCAAGATTGAACGTCTCTATCCCAGGGATATTGTCCTTATCCCTCTTCCGGACGGCTTCCAGCATGGCCTTGGCATGCTTCTGGACGTCTGGCTAGCTAGGAGATTGATCTGCACCACAATCAATACGTGATGAGTGCGAAACTAAGGCATCGCCTATTTGTTGTCGACCGTCTGAGGATGACGTATGTTGGGAGTGGGATTTCACCCGTAAAGGCCACCCCAGCTCAAGCGGGGATTCAAAAGGGTTCTTACCTTCAGAGCCGGCCAAGCGGGAACCGCTTGCAGGCGTGGTGAACCCCGCGGCTGCTGATAAGGGCTTGACAAGATCAAGGCACAGGCTGCCGCCTACCTTCTCGAGTCGCCCCGCTATCCGCATCGGCTTAGCCCCGGCTGAGGCGCCAGGAGTTGATGCAGAGGTGGACTTTTTTATTTTCTTGAGAACGGCTGGGGCCTCCTCCCTAGCCCGTTTAAGGGTTTTCTCAAACGACTTCCCAAATTCTCCCCCCCTGCGAAAAATAACCAAAGTCAAGTTAGCATCCGGGCAAAATAGTTTTTAAAATCAATTTAAGAAAGGGTCAGGCGCTTAATACCTTGGCCTTGACCTCAGCCGCAGCTTTCTCCGCAAGATCTTTGCGGATGGTGGTAGAAGACCGCTTGGGAGTTTTCTCCGACTACAACATGTTTAGAGCTTCTTCTGCAAAACGAAAGAAATTGGTCAATATCATAAATCAATTCCGATAGAAAAATACTACAGACGGTATAAACTCAGGCGCATACGTTTGGTAAACATGTGCCCTAGCCCGCATGCGGCTAGGAAACACTCGTCCCTAAACCAGGCGCTCTTGGGAATCCAATTCTTGGGGTTTTTTATTGTTTCCCCGGTTGACAGAGTTGCGATTGTGAGGCCGAAAAAGTCTGCCTCAATTATCTTGTCAAAATCTTCCTCTGGGATCCGGGGAAGAGCGCACTTCCCGCCCAACAAGTCGGGCTTCTTATTGTACAGACGAAATTCATAATTTTCCCGTCTGGTTGGGGATGACATCAGGTAGAACTTGTGCTTCCAGCCATCGAACTTTGAGACCTTGTCCAAGGTCATCATATATTGCGGCTGCGTGGTTAGAGTGTACCACGCCCTCCAGCCGCCTGAGCTTCTGCTAAGATAGTGCATGCTTGAAAAAGCCTCCCAGCCGGAATTAAGCCCCTGGAACTTGCAGGCGGCAACATACCTCAGAATGTTGGTCCTGGAGTTGGGGGTAAGTTGCCAGACCCCAAGGCCGTAACCTCTTAGAATTGCCTTCACCGCCTGGTGAAGGGGGAAGCAAAGGCCAGCTTTGAACGCCGCCTCATAACAGCCGAAATAACTGTTGGCGTTCTGTTGATCGTCCCCCTAGGCGATGGTGCCCAGCTCAGGCGGCACCCGGATCCTATACCCGTCTCCTAGCGGGTGCATTTTCTTAAAATTTTCCAAGTTTTCCTCCATTTGGATCCGGTCCTTGGAGGAGACGTGGATGCTGAAGGGATCATTCTTCTCGCTCCACTTTTTCCTTTCTTCCTCCTCGCTATCCGGAAGAGGGGGTAAGTCATCACTGCTCTCAGAGGTAGAGGCGGAGCTGTCGCTCTCTGTCTCCTCCTCACTTTGACCCAAGGGGGCAGAGACGGCCTCGTCGCCGCCTTGGTCGCACTCTTCCAAAAAAGAGTCCGCAGGGGTTGAAGGGGCACGCGGAGGGGATCTCTCTAAAGCCGTCTTGTCTCCCTGACAAGACGTTTCTCCCTCAGGCGTTTGGCCGCCTGAGCCTTCGCTCCTGTAATTTGGATCAGTGGCCGTCTGCATTGTCCGAGCCATGGTGTCCTGCACAGACACATAACTGGTCGGAATCCTTGGCAAAGGGTGGTCCCAACACCCCGAGACGGCACTCCCAGTCCTAGACTCAGCCGTCCCAGGTGACCGGCTGGACTTTAACCTAGGCTGTGCCGTGTGTGTTGGTGATGCATCCATTTATTGCAAGAAATATGTACAAGCGGTGAAAAAAGAAAAGAGCTGAGAGAGACAGAGACGGTACCTTTGGATTTGATATCTGAGGGTAGGCGGGTCCGGCTAGGTCGCTGAAGAACAAACTTTCTTGCTCACGTCTGACTCAAACGGATGACTTCTGCTCTCTCAAAGTTTTTCTCTCTAGAAAATTTTTGTAAACGTACAAAATTATGAGGGTAAAACGGCTATATATAGAGGGTAAATATGGGGGCATTCCCGTAATTTACTCGGAAGGTGAACAGTTACTCTGTAACGGTAAAATTACCGCCAACCAGAGCGTGACATGTGTCACAGATGCCACGTGGCGTGCCACGTCACATCTGTGAGGGGCAAATGTTTAGGGTAATTTTACCCTGCCACGTGGCCCAATTAGAGGGTGACACTTGTCAGCCTCAGATTGGTCCAGAGTGGACAAATCCCTGCTTGACACGTGTCACTCCAGAAATAAAGGGAAAAAGGCGGCCTTCAGGCCCAAATTCCGAGAACGGCGCAGCCCACCAATGATTAGGGTTTAGTGACCTAATCAGGGGCACAATTCCCAAAGACCCTATAAATAGGGAGATGTCCCTCATTTTGAGGACACGTTTTACCATTTATTACACTTGCATTCTCTTACATCAGAGAAACACCTGAGCTTGGAATTCGAGCAGATACCCACCTTAATTTTTGTTCTCTTTATTCCGTTTCAAGTTACTAACTTGATCGTCGGAGGCGGAGCTCCAACCACCCGGAGTCTCCGTTATTTTGCAGGTACAGATTGGCTGGAATCAAACTTCGTGACGTAACACTCCCGAGGGACAAAAACACCCAAAACATTAGGCCCTCCCCTAGATCATTGGGCCGCATATAAGGCTCAAACCGGGCCCAGTTTAGTAAATTGGCCATAATTTCCTCAATATTCATCGGAATTGGGCCTATAATATATCGCTGGAAAGATCTTGTCAAGCCCCATCCAACTACACTACTATTGGACCCATATCATGGACCAACCAAACTGAATTGGCTGTTTTCTTAAAATAAGTTTTCAAAAATAGAGAGAAGAGAAAAGAAATTAAAACTATCCGCAACACTGAACTTTCCACACTTTCACTTCATTCGATTATGATTCGACGCAAAAGGTACTCATCACTGGGTTTGGTTTTGGGGAGACACAAATGGGTGTCTACAGTCGGCCCGAACTATATGTGCTTACGGCCACTCCGGAAGCCTGGTTGTCGAAAACGTCAATAACCTTGTTCACCACAATAAATGCGAGGTTATACTTACTTGCCATTTCTTTCATTTTCCTTGCTACAGCCTGTAACATTCGTTTACGCTCCATAAAGCCTTTATATGAGTTGTCATGCTCATGCCTGAACAGATACGCTATTGAATCAAGAATAACAACCCTAGTGTGCATGCATCCTTCATGGGAGTTTAACACCATCAACTCAACTTGGTTTAGAACTAGATATATTTGTTCGGCATTATCAATTTTTTTAACATGCACCAAGCTAAGTGGGTTTTCATCAATTAACTGGGGAGGACACAAATGCACACTAAGACTGTTTAGTCATTGAGCTGGGAAAGCTGGACATGCTTGTATGTATATCGATGATCCATATATACCACCATCCCCCGGATACAAAAGACACGTCAACAGCATCTGGAGACATATCTGGGTTTTTCCCATCCCGGATTCACCGAAATTTCGGTCACTTCACCAGTACAAATTCCGCCATCTAGCATAAAGTCTACTCTTTCACAAATGGTTCGACATTTTTGTTTCAAATTTGCAAACCTACAATCTTGTGTGGAATAAGGTCAATAATGAATATGCATAGCATATTTATAACATCACTTTAGGTGGATATGTGAAAAGAATATTTTTGGATTACATTATCCATAAAGTACAATTTTTTTTGGATTGCAATGAGTCCGTGACAGTAAAGGCATGCCACATTATTCATAAACTACAGTTTCATTTATACCATTTTTAGCCTAAATGGTACCATTATGATTAATATCAATTCCACAAATGGTACCAATCTGCCTCTTAATGGTACAAGAATAGGATACCATTTCCACATGTATTGGTATCAAAATAAGATGCCATTATGATTCATTGGTATATGTCATAACACAATGATACCATTACGACAAATTAATTATTAATGTATCTAACCAATTAAATTGAGTACATCTACTGAGTTTATTGTACACATCTGTTAATTATTGAATTATTTGAATCCTATTGCAAATGATGTATGGACATGTTGGTGGGAAACTCGTTGTTGAATAAATAGCCTTAAGGGGGAAAGAAATGTTGTTGGCCATGGTATGCGTTGTTGGTGAAGTACCTAACTGCATCAGTGTGCTCGTCCATGTGAATTCCACCTGCTAAAATCCTTCCACCACTAAATGCTGACTCCCATTACTTGTAACTGTATATTGGCCTTGGCAGCAAAACACACCAGTATAAGGTTTGCTGGAACACTTGCTGGCAGAAAAAAGAAAGAACAGAGTAAACAAGTAGGAGAAAGTGTTACCTACTGCTGATACACTTGTTGTTGAAGATATGGAGCACCAAACATATTAGGAAAAGGAACCTGCAACCATGATCGCAACAATAAGCAACCGTACTATAAGTAATCAATACACACTCACCACAATAACGACACTACACTTACCTCCAGTGTTTGAAAAAGCGCATCTAAGGCTCTAGGCGTTTAGGGGTTAGAGCTTAATTGTTGCCAGGCGAAGCAATTTTAATGAAGCGCAATTAGGCTGAATGAAGCGCGTGAGGCGCACTAGGCGCAGAAGCGTGCTTAATTGCGCCTTTTTAAAAAGGTTGCTTTTCTCTTTTTTTTTTTTTTCTTTTTTTTTAACCGTTACATATGATGTTTTCTTTTTTTTACTGTTATGTGCTAGAAAGTTCTACTATATATTTTATCTTGTTTTATTATGTGGTCCACAAAATCCTTAACAATAGAAAAAAAAAGAGAAGAGTAGAAGACATAAGAATTCGTTGTAGCCGGCCCTAGTTTCTTGAAGACTTCTTCAGCAATCTCCAATTCTCCAGGTACGTAATACTAATCTTCAAACCAATTTTTTTTCGTCCTTTTCATCTTCATTTTCCTTTTTTTTTTCTCCTTTTCCTTTTCTTTTTCTTCCAAACTTCTTTCGTTTCTTCTTATTTTCTTTCGTATTATTTCTGTATTTTTTTTGGAATCTTTTTGGCTGAATTTCTTCATCTCTTGAAAAAGACCCAACCTTTATGTCCTTTTTAGAGATGAGAACCTTTTATTATGTCTCTTATCAGTAAATTTTGCATGCAAATATAATATATAAAAAGAATAAATGCAAATATCAACCATCTGTCACTTTCTACCTAAATAAAAGCCCCAATTTATAACGATGATAGAGAGGAAGCAATTCAGTCGAGCAAAGGGTGAAGACCCGAATCTTCACATTGCCGACTATTGTCAATATTGCAACACCATCAGGCAAGCCGGGGTCACTCAAGACCAAATCAGGGAGATTCTCTTTCCCTTCTATTTAATTGGAAAAGCTAAATTATGGTTCAATGGCTTAAATAGAACTACACTTGGTATAACTGACTGGGAAACTCTTGTTTTGAATTTCTATAATAAGTATTATCCTGTAGAGAGAACAACAGTACTACGGAGTGCGATTTAGAACCAAGAAGCCGATGAGTCTTTATATGAGGCTTGGGAGAGGTTCAAGGACTTACAAAGAGAATGCCCTCACCATAATTTAGCACAATGGAAGTTAATCCAAGACTTTTATAACGACATTGGAAATTCTTCTAGAATAATTTTAGACTCTGCAGCTAGTGGGAGATTTATGAATCTTAATGTTGATGATGTAGGTCAGGTTATTGAAGATATGGCGATACAAAATTCCTAATATGGGAATCCCAGAGGATTTGCTAACAAGGGGAAACATAGTGTCGACTCTGTATCCTTTTTGCAAGCTCAACTGACCTCTATTTGTCAAAAATTAGATAATCTGAGCACTGCTAATGTAGCCAATGTTTCTACGATTAATAATAATTCTAATGAGGCTTTCTGTGAAAATTGTGGTATTGTAGGTCATTGGGAGCAGGATTACAGGAGTTCCGTGGAGCAAGTTAATGCCTTCCAAGCTTATAGGCAGAATAACCCATACTCCAACACTTACAATCCTGGGTATCGGAATCATCGATACCTTTCCTACCGGAGCACTAATGTTCAAAATCCACCACCACAAGAACCACAGGTGCCACATCAACAACAGCAGAAATACTATCATCCCAATGTTAGCCAGAAGAATCAACCACAACAACCCCCCTCATCTTCCGACCCTTCTTTGGGGGAAATTAGAGCAATGTTGGTCAATATGAAAAAGCACATGGAGAGCAGGGATGCGACAATTGATCAAATTCTAGCGCATAATAAAATTGTAGATAATCAAATTGCGCAACTCTCCGCTACTCTACAAGCACGCCAACAGGGAGCCCTGCCGGCACAGCCGACTAGGCCTACGGATCAAGAATTTGCAATTACTCTAAGGAGTGGTTCAAACTATGAAGGGCCCTCTATGCCCAGAGTTGATGAACCTATTTTATTAAAAAATGCTAATCTTGATTCCATTAAACTAAACAATGTAGTTGATAGCCCTGCAGGGCTAAAAGATAATACTAACATATCTAATTCTACATTGCAGGGTACAACTCCAGAGAAGGTGGCTACACCAGACAAGAATAAGAATGCTCCAAAGCCAATCATCAAACTTCCTTTCCCCAATCGTCAATTGAAGACAAACCTGGACAAGCAGTTTGGTAAGTTCCTGGAGGTAGTTAAAGATCTGAAGGTAACAATTCCCTTTACTGAATTGATCACACAAATCCCCTCGTATGCAAAATTCATGAAATAAATTTTGACGAGAAAAAGGTCTATTAGTGAGGTAGAGACAGTAGCTTTCACTGCAGAGTGTAGTGCCGTACTTCAAAATAAGTCTCCACCTAAATTAAAAGATCCGGGTAGTTTTTCTATCCCTTTTCATATTGGTAATCTCTTGATTGATAATGCATTATGTGATTTGGGTGCTAGTGTTAGCGTCATGCCATTATCTGTGTGTTCTAAGTTGAATATGGGTAAATTAAAAGCTACCAATATAACTCTGCAAATGACCGACTGCTCTTTCAAATACCCCCTAGGTGTTTTAGAGGATGTCCCCGTTAGAGTAGGTAAATTTTATATACATGTAGATTTTGTTGTCCTTGATATGGCTGAGGATATGCAAACCCCAATTATTTTGGGTAGACCAATCCTTAACACTGCAGGAGCAGTCATAGATGTTAGAAGTGGTAAGTTAACACTATCAGTAGGGGACGATAAAGTTGTTTTTAATCTGAATAACGCCTCCAAAAGCTCCATGACTGAGGAGAAATGCTTCAGTGTTAATGTGGTTGTAAATTATTCTAACAAGCCACAAGCTCTTGAAAAAGATCCCTTGGAGGCGGTATCTTGTGTTTCATCCTTTTCAGATAAGATAGAAAAATGGAAGAAGGAAGTCAATGCAATATAAAGAGCACTCTACAATGTTGGTCTTGGTTTTGAGGTTGAACAAGTGGAACCGATCGAGCAAGTTGTGCGAATCGAGCCTACGGTAAGAGTTCCACCAGATCGAGTTGCAAGTGTTGAACGCAATGATAATTTGAAGCAACATTCGATCGAAGAAGGGTTTTTAGTGCGTAGCATTGAAGATCCCCCATTCCAAGTCAAGGAGGATCCACCAGTTAAGGCGACTTGGCATCCCACAGGTTATGTCAGGAAGCCGCATCGCAGCCTAAACATCGCTAGACCGGGTGAGAAACCACCCGATCAAGCATTAGGCCAAGGGTCCTAAGAATTGTACTTGGTAAGAAGGTCGTGCGGGACCTAGATAAACCAGCGCTTTGCGGGAGGCAACCCATATTTCATGCTTTCTAGACTAGTTTTCCTTTTCTCTTATTTTTATTTTTATTTTAGAGAGGTGAGGAGAGTGATATTTTACCATTTTTAAGTGTTGTTGTACAGGTATGAAATTGACAGGTAAAAAGACTTAGAAAATTTTGAAGAAGAAAAGAAATCGGAGAAACTCCAGGGCTTGGTACGGGCCCGATCGGGCGCGCAAGTGAGGAAAAAATCGGAGAAAAATTCGCCCGATCGGCAAATCTGCCCGATCGGACGCGCAAGAAGAGCTGATTTCGAGGCTAATTTCGCCCTGATCGGGCGAAGCTTGCCCGATCGGGCGCGAGAGGAGAGCTGGAAACGAGTTCTCTTTTCGCCCGATCGGGCGCAAATCGAGTGAGAAGGAAAGAAATATCGGGCGAAGCTCGCCCGAACGGGCGAGCAAAGGGCTAAAATTTTGTTCGCGTTCGCGCCCGATCGGGCGGAGCTCGCCCGATCGGGCGCGCAACTTGTATTTTGGAAATTTCCCCAGTCGCCCGATCGGGCGCGCCTACAGCCCGTCTCCCCTTTATTTTCTTTTCTCTTCTTTCTTTCCTCACTTTCCCCTTATTTCATCTTCTTCATTTCACTTTCTCTCTCTAAAACCTCCATTTCCAAACCTTCAACTCACACTTAAATCCAAGATCTCCTCCAATTCTTCCATCCAAACTTAAAAATTCTTACATTTTCCAACTTCTCTCATCTTCCCCTACAATCTACACTAAATTTTCAACACTTTCTCTCAATTTCTTCTCAAGCCCTAAGAGAGAGAAGGCTTCAATTCCTACTACTTTCACATAAAATGGATTTCAAGAGGTCTAGAACTGTTAGGGGTGAAGGATCGAGGCAACAAGAACCCAGCATTGACCCGGAGTTGCAAATTTCGGGGTGGGAGAGGGTGGTCATCACCACCCAAGAGCAAAAGCAAAGGATGCTCAACCTCATCACACGGCAGGTAATTCCTACCCGTTTTATTCATCATCCTACGCTTTCTAGACTAGGAATTGGTAAACATGTTGAAAAACTGTTCAAAGGAATTGGCATGAGTGGTTTGTTCAATTTACACTATGATACTTATGATTATTTGACTTTAGAATTTATTTCTAGTTTTAATGTCATAAAATCAAATGCTCTAATCTCTCATGTTCAATTTCGATTGTTTAATAATGATATTAGATTGTCCTTGAAAGATTTTGGAAAATTGTTTGAATTGAAAGCCGATAGACCAATTGAACCACCCCAAGACAACATTACTTTTGTCTACCGTGCTCTAACGGGGAATCCTAACTTAAACCTCCAACATGCCAAGGGCACTTGGATTCAACATCCCGTGCCAAAACTTTGGCAACGGTTTGTTGGCCTTACCATCTTTGGGAGGCATGAACCGGCTAATGTGAGGAGAGATGAACTAGAACTATTAGGATCATACATGATTCCTAAGAGTGACAAGCTTAACATAGTTCATAGGATGGCCCAACACTTTCAGAGGGTGGCCAATGCGGCCGAATCGGGTAGGTCTAGGGTCCCAATTTACTTTGGTGGGTTAGTAACCCACATTGCGGTCAAATACCTTAGTTGGACCCCTAGCGATGATGGTAAGGTAGCCGGACCAACCTTAATGGACGCACCCTACTTAGGAGGCCTTAATTGGATAAATGTGATAGGGGGTGAGACTTGGTGGGTGATTCATAGGGAGTCGGGTAGAAGAGACAACGCTTTCATCTTGCCTAACCCGGCCTTGACTAAATTTGAGAAGGGTCTTCCCTCTTATACCTTTGAATTAGGAGACCAAGGGGAGGCCCAAGCACACCACCAAGCACCTCCCTCACCACCACAACATTTCCACCAACCATCACCCCAACATTACACACATAACATTCCCACTTCCTCAACCAACTACAATATCGACCCTAACGCCCCATATGACTTTTCGGCTTTTAGAAGCCAATTGGATCGGATAGAGAGTGGGCAAGGGAGGATGGAGGGTATGGTTAGGAATTTGGACACTAGGGTAGGAGCCCTAGATGCTAGGGTTGGGGTTGTGGAGAGGAACTTAGGGCGGAGTTTATACCCCATGTATGATGATTATGCCCGTCGGGGGGCTATTCCCCCCGAATCACTTGTCCCCGATTGGTTCCAATACCCCCGAGGGGGATACACGGACCCAAGTGCCTACAGTACCTATGTGGACTATTCATCGGTCCATGGATATGGGACCGATGCTCCTTTTGGTGGGCTTGGGGGGAATGTAGACCCTAACTATTTTGCAGGTGGTTCGGGTTATGGAGGTGGTGGTTCAAGCCATGGAGGGGCCGGTTCTAGCCATGGTGGTGGCGGCTATTCGTGGATGGATGAGGATGAGGAGTAGGTTACACTCCCAAGTCAATGAGGGCATTGCTTGATTTGGCTTGGGGGGGGGGGTAATCTTTCGCTTGGTAACTCTCTTTCCTTTCTCTCTATTTACTTGCTTTCTAGTGTAGTTTTTATTTTCTTTCTAATTTAGTTTTATTGCTTTCCTTATTTGAAAAATACAAAAAAAATTGAAAAATAAAAAGAAATCCAAAAATACGTTCCAATGAATTATAAATTATGCTTCCCTGTGCCCCTTACTTGAGAAAAATTGTTTTGATTCTTGGTATTTGATGATAGGCATTGTGGATTAGTTGATCATGATTTGATGTTTGATTGCCTTGAACCTTAACATGCGTCAATTTTGTCCAACTACTTGTGAATATAGTGCTTGACTAGTTGATTTGGTAAGGAATGTGTGATAGTTCCATAGTTCCTGGTATGTCAATGAATTTGAGTATTGGTTTGCAACTATAAGTAACGTTTATATGATTCATTATTCTGCACATTGAGGAGGACGAAGGCATTTGTTCTTTTAGGTAGCCTTCAGACATTGTAGATACATTTGTTTCCTTCTTGCTACCCATGTTGTTGCCTTGACCTTTTGTTGTTTATTAGCCACATTACAAGCCTATTTTGCCCCATTGGTTACTAGTCCCAAGCTTGGCTTGGGGGAGCTATTAGTGAGTGAGGTGAGGGAGTTTGTAGTGTGCTTATTATTTGCACAATTTGGGTGGGGTTTGAGAAGTTGTTTTGTTGATTGATCATGTTTATTTTTGATGAGTTTGAGAGTTATATTTTCTTGAAAAAATAAAGCATGATTATTATGAAAAAAAGTGAAGTTCAAGAAAAAAAAATGTGAAAAAAATAAGTGAACTTCAAAAGAAAAAAATGTTCAAATGTTCTATTTGGAGGTTGATCAAAGAAAAAAAAAATTGAGCCTCAATGGAAAAAAATTCAAGTTGAAAAATAAAGTTTGTTTATTCACTCTATTTTTTTTTTCATTATCATATCTTATGAGTGATAATTGTAGGAGTTGGGTTTATTTATTATGATTGGAGTATATTTGGTTGATGTTAGAGTTGGTTATGTAGGAGATGTATGATCATTATTTATTTTTGATCATGGGCTTTATTAGGATTTGCTCCCTTAAGCATAACTTTACTCTCACTTGGTCCCAAATGTTTCCTACCCTTTACCCTAGCCTTACATTACAAGCTTTAAAGACCTTCCGACCTTTGTGCATAGAATTGTATGAATGTGAAAGTGTTGTTTATCAATGCAAGTTATGATTTGAAATATTTCGAGTCGACTAGTAGTTTGAGCGTTCATTGTTTTATACACACGAGAGTGTGAGTTGGGAGGACATTGTTCACATTAAAGGGGTTGGATGGAGAGCGATTGAGTACATCTTTTACTCGCCACAAAAATGAGAGTCGAGTGTGTGAGCACTAGTCTTGAATTCTATATGCTCTTCTGGTTTGCTCTATTTGACAATTGTTAGGGAAGAAAGGTATTTGGATGGATTTGATTGGTTGACTTTGAAGCATATCTATTTGATTTACCCTGGATCGTTTGTGCTTGATTTTTACTTTTTGGGGTGAAGCATATTTATTGATTCATTGATGAGATCTTTGCTTAGGGACAAGCAAAGGTTTGGCTTGGGGGAGTTTGATGTGTCCATTTTATATAGTATTTTACCCCCGTCCCTTGGTCATAATTAGTAGTGTTTTTGGCTCTTTAGAGCCACTTTTATTACTAATTTGTGTGTTCTAGTGTTTTCGTAGTTTTAGTTGTATTTTACAGGAAATTGCACTCTTGGAGCATTTTCCCGGGCCTTATTGGATCGACTACGGAAGCTAGAAGAACACGACCACTTTTGGAGCCCAAGACCGGTGAGAGCCGGTGATTAAGGGCTCGGTAATCGGGATACCGAGGATTGGACCGAGTATTCAAGACCCGAAGAGGAAATCCGGATTGGGCCGAGGAGTCGAGCCCAATCGGAAGTCCAAAGCCTCGAGGAGCCACAAGGGCCCGATCGGGCAAGCTTAGCTCGATCGGGCAAGATGCGTGCTGGTGCGTGGCCTAAGGCGCGCCCGATCGTGCGAGGCTTAGCACGATCGGGCGCGTGTTTCTGGAAAGGCTCTTTTGTCGAGCAATTAGTTTCTAATTAGGAGTAGTTTTTAGTTTTGATTAAGTACGTTTTTAGGACGCTTAATTTGACGGATCATCCTTCTCTCATAGACTCTCTCTCTCTACTTAGTTTTCTCTCTCTTAATCTCTCTCTAAACCTTTGTTCTTAATTTCTTTCATTAATCCCACATTTATTTTGGTAACGATTTCTTCTCCCTTAATCTTAGTTATTTATTTTATTCCTCTCATTATGATTTATTTTATTACTTTGATTAGTTTAGTTTTTAATATGTGTGAGTAGTTTAATTTCTAGGGTTTATGGGGATCTAATAAATAATATGAAGGGGTAAATTATTGTTGTTGATTATCAATGCTAGATTAATTTCCTATTGATTGATTTAATGCTCTGTGACTAGATTAGGCCTATCTTTTATGCATGAGTTTGACAATATTGATTCAAGAATCGAGAGATGAGAATTAATGTTTAGGTCTAGTTTCAATAGGCAAGTTAATTTATAAATGGTTAAGTCAAGATTCGAGAGATGAGATTTAATACCGATAAATTAATTGTGTGATTGTAATAAGTAGCGAGAGCCCTTTACAATCTGGCTAATTGATGCATTGATGATTGACTATTATTGATTATTGGTATTGCACGATAATTTCTTATTGGATTGTTTTAATGTTTTACAATTGCGGCTTCTAAAAGTATAGCAATATTAAATTGATGAATCGAGCAGATGTTAATTTGATATTAAAGGCTATTTTCAATAAGAACTTAGATCTAGTAAATTGCGAGAGCCTGTTAGATCTATGTTGATTAATAAATTGCGAGAGCCTGTTAATCATGTTATCTATGCATTTTTAATTATTAATTACTTCGTTCTATCCCGGAATATTATTTATTGGTGAACCTATGCCCTAGATCCTTTCATATATTGTTTTCTTCCTATTCTCAACTTTAGTAGTTTAGTTTCTTACTTAATTATAAATATTGGTTACTTAAATAATTTAGATTATAATAATTAATTAGAATTAAAAAGACCGGTTTCCCTGTAGAGATCGACCCTACTTCCCTATCTACTGTAGTTAGTGATTTAGGTAATTATTTTTTATTAGGGGATACGACTCTACCCTGTCATGGACCGATAAATGTGGAAGGACAATAATCAACTTTTTAGTCAATCGTACTAAAGGAAATATGTTCCTTGAATCTGTTGATGCCTTAAGCTATTCAAAGACGAGTAACAATCTATTTAATCTGATAAGTGATATTGTTGACAAAGTAGGAGATAATAATGTTGTACAAGTTATCACAGACAATGGAAGTAATTTTTTTGCTGCTGGTAAGAAAGACTAAAAACTGTTTCAAATTAACTTTATTATTTCACTAGTTTCTTATATAATTAACTATATTTTGATTAGGTACCCTCTTGATGGAAAATTATCCAAACTTGTATTGGACTCCTTGTGCAGCTCACTGTATTGATCTTATACTTGAAGATATTAGACGACTTCCTATCATTGAAAGAGTCCTAAAGAGGGTAATTCAAATGAATAGCTTCATTTATCAACGCCTTGGTCTTCTAAATTTGATGAGACAATTCACTAACCAGAAGAACTTGTTAAGGCCAGCAAAGACAAGATTTGCTACTGCATTTATTACACTATCATCAATTCACAAGCAGCAGCATAATCTAAGAAAAATGTTTACTTCTCAAGAGTGGAGAAGTAGAAAATGGGCCAAGAAATCAGGAGGCAAAAAAGCAGCTGAAACTATTATGATGCCCTCCTTTTGGAATGGTACATTGTATGCATTAAAGTTAACAGGTCCATTAGTTCGTGCACTAAGGTTGGTGGATGGTGAAAAAAAACCTCTCATGGGCTACATATATGAGGCAATGGATCGTGCCAAAGAAGCAATTTCAGCATCATTCAATCAAAATGAGTCCAAATACAAAGAAGTTTTCGAGATGATTGATAAGAGATGGCAATGTCAACTACACTGCTCTTTACATGCTGCTGGACACTTTCTAAACCCTGAATACTTTTATGACAATCCCCAAATTGAGCAATGTCAAGAGCTTGTAAATGGATTATATGAGTGCATACAAAGTTTGGTCTCTCAACTTGACAAGCAAGACAAGATTATGACCGTGCTCACATTTTACAAGCAAGAAAATGGTCTATTTAGAAATCAAATGGCTATAAGGCATAGGAAAACTAAAGCTCCACGTAATCAACTTATATCAATTCAATTAATTGTAACTATTCACCTAATTACACACTAATCTCTACATTGTAAATTTTAATTTTGTAGATGAGTGGTGGTCTTGTTATGGTTCTTCTACACCTACTTTACAACAATTTTCCATAAAGATTTTAAGTCTTACATGTAGTGCATCAGGTTGTGAGAGAAATTGGAGTACCTTTGAACATGTAAGTGGTGTTTCCTACTGATTCTTTATTAAACTAATGTCAATTTCTTGGTGATTATAATTAAATATTTTCTGTTTTGATAGATTCATTCTAAGAAGAGGAATCGACTCAGACAATCTCGTTTAAATGACTTGGTGTATGTTAAGTACAATTGGGCATTGGTTCAAAATTACAAGTTGCGTGATAAGATTGATCCCATAGCTTTGAAAGATATTGATGATAGTAATGAGTGGTTAACAGGCAGGATAGAAGAAGATGCTGAAAATGATCATGTGTTTGATGATGATGATGATCTTACATGGGGCCAAGTTGCTAGTGCGGCCAAAGTTTATGAAGAAAGATTCAGCTTGAGATCAAGAGGAGGTAGACTTGGAGAAAATATTGGTAGTTCAAGCAAAGGAACCACACAAAGTCAGCCATTAGGACAAGCAAATGATGATGAAGAAGATGATGAAGAAGGCTACTTGTCACTTGAAGATGATATGAGAGATGTTGATGATTTTTCTGAGGAAGATGATTGAACATAACACTAGGAGCATAGGAGGACATATTTACATATCCTTTTGAAACTACTATATTTGGTTTCCTATTAGCTAGTAGCCTAGTTTTTGTATGCTATGTTATTGGAGAAGCATGTGGAATGGGAAATCAGTTTTTACTTATATATTTATGTGTTTTAATATTATGTTCCAATCACATATATATATGCATAAGTGAAAAAACCTTTAAATGTAGGAAAGTGCGCCTTACTTCGATAAGGCGAGCACCTTGCGCTTGCGCCTAGGCTCTGGAACCCTTATCGCCTTAGTGCGCCTTGTGCTTTTTTATACACTACTTACCTCGTTCTGCAAGCCGAATGTATGTACAGTCCCATTATCCACATCAACCTCTTGGTCCGTTACCTGTTTCTTCTTGCCTCTTCCTGTCTTGGCCTGATTATTCGAACCCCCTTTTTCTGTAGGTGATACAAACCAAGAAGCTCTTGGCCTGTCCTTTTTATTATTACCCCAAGGTTCAGGATCTTTCACATTGGAATTTGGTGAATCTTTTGGTTTACAATGCTCCCTTTGTTTACTAAGCTAGGATTTTTAGGAGTTGGAGGAATAGCTTGTTGCACCAATTCAATTTGACCACTAGGCTTATCATCACCACTAGAGCCTTAACCTGAACCTTGATCCAAGACTTGTAGTTCATCAACCTTTATGCTCATAGACTGAATCATATCCGTCAACACTTCAACAACTTCTTCAGATGATGAAGCTTGCATAACAACAGGTTCGTGGGCTAGCATCAAATTATCATATCTCATCACATCCTCCATTTTGGACGCATCATGGTAAGCAACTTTGGTAAGGGTATGTTTCCTAGTAATATCCTTTCTCCAACTATCTAGGATATATATGGGAGGGACCTCAGTAACACCATTTATGTCTAATACCTTAATTATGTGTCTAATCCCATGACATTCGAAGTGCCGACAATCACAATACGCCTCTTTTTTCTCCTTGTTATACAAAACTGTGTACTCCTTCATCCTATTTTCCCCCTATTTTGCAAGGGAACTTCTCTCCTCCTTTTCTTGCATTAGATCCAAACACGATCTGAAAAAACATGCTCTTCCTCACTAGGTGACACCTTCTTCTTTGGCCCAACAGGGGTCACATATGCCACTCTGTTTCACTGATTTTGTACCTCAATAAACTTTGATCCGTATACAATTTTTTGGAATTTACGTTCCAATCTAAATTTCGATAGAAAAGGCCTTACATAACGGGTTGAGTTTGCGTCCGCATCCTACTCATCAATTGCACATCTTTCCATGGCCTTGCAATAGTTAGGAGCAAATTCAGAAAGATGAGTGTACCTGTGAATATACCCATAAAAAAAGCTGTTGATGCTCTCAACCCTTTGAGTTGTCTGCATTCCTGCCCAAAAAATATCTTTAGCATAGCAAGGAATCCACATTTCTCTTTCCTCAAACAGGCCTAAACAACAACAACAATAGTCGAATTGTAATAAGTACACTTCCAAATCAACTATAAGACTGACTCAAATATAAACAATATCATTCACAACAATGTGGCATACTGAAGTACCATCAGTATTAAATTAAGTACCATCCAAAGCCTTGATGGTACTGGCAACACGAGGCAGAAAAAAATACACAGAACATACAGGACATAAACATGAGCAGAATAAAATTAACACAACCAGAACAAGAGGCTATGCACATCAATTAAAAGACTGACCTTCCAGCCATTCATAGCATTCATATTGTTTGAGCTCGTACTTTTTAATCACTTCCCACCAAGACTCAACAAACTCGTCCGGGGTAATGCTGTTGTAGATCACATTTTGCGACTCCTCTTTAACATCCTAATAGTTAGACAAAGCGCCAAGTTTCATCCCACACTTCTTCATAATATATATGCCACATACACCAACGATGGCGTGTTTGAGGAATGGGAAAAATAGCTCTAATCACCTTCCTCATCGCCGCGCATTGATCTGTCATGATTGCTGCTGGGGCCTTGCCTCTCATGCATGACATCTATGTCTTGAATAACCATTCAAAGGTCTCCGCATTTTCATGAGAAACCAAGGCACAACCAAGAAGGATAGTCTGACCATGGTGATTCACCCCAACGAAATTCGAAAATGGAAGTTCATTCTAATTTGTTAGGTACATCGAAACAAAGCATATGACATCCCCAAAATAATTAAAGGCCTCCCCAATCCGATCACTAACCCACATTATGTCTTTCAACCTTCCTTTCTCATCAAGACGATGCATATGAAAAAAAATTTGGTTATCGGCACTCATTCTATCAAAATAGTCCAACATAGCCGAGGCATCTCCCTTTTTTATCTTCAACCTCCTCTTTCTATTCACCAAGTTGTGCATATCGTTTTTAGTGAATCCCATATTCCCAACTCCATTTCCTTGGCTTGCCATATTGTTGAAAATCTGACCAATTGGAGCGTCGGAACCATGATCATTTTCAATCTTATACTCCAAGTGCTTTGTAATATTCTCCTTCCTATACATAGCTATGTGTTTGGACATCTTGGGAGACAATACATGATTATGCTCATTCACAATCTTCTTTACCATCCACCCACCTTCATCATTACCTTGCCCGTACATCATAACTGGACAATCACATTTTTTAGTCTTCTTCTTTACCACTGGTTCATCCTTAACCACAACCCTCTTACCATTAACCTTCCTTCTGTATGTTACCTTCCCATAACACTCACACTTCCATACATAAGTGCGATATGAAGTTGACTTCCCCGCATTTTTAGAGGTTGGCTTCCCACCACCTATACACATAACACCAAACCCTTCTTACTTCCCATAACCACGATAAAACTTATTCATTTCATCCCAGGTGATGAACACCATTCCCACTTCTGGTTGAGGTAATACACTACCTGTACAGCTATCTAAATCCCTCTCTAAACCCACATTACAGTCTTCATTTAAGTCAATAAACTCATTGTCCCTATTGATAATAAAAGAGTGAACACCCTCGATGGAGGCTCCTTATTCAGGTCAAAAGCCTCCCATCCATCATCGCTCACAACACTTTGTGGAATTTCATCGCTGTCCGAGCTATCTGAAATACTATCTGAGCTATCACAGTCATTCTTCTTAATATGAGAACAGAACATCAACAATTAGGGAGGGAATTACGCTAATTACAAGAACAAGGACTCAACATATTATGATATCCAAACACATAGCAAAATTCATTAAAGAGAATTTCAGCCTCTAAGTATCCACGATAAGAATGCATATTTCATAATAAATAAACATCACCACAATTTACACCACACAATATTTGCAATTCAATTGTCCCAAAAAAAAAAGAAAAAAAGAAACCAATGCTTTAAAATACACAAGTAATAAAGAACAATTGCATGCCCAGCTTCCCCACACACATTACATACCTCTAAGTTAACCAATTCGTCTTCAATTTACCCATTTTTGAACCACATTTAATTACCTAAACACACTAAACATTCTGAATTAACACACTAAACATTCTGAATTAACACACTAAACATTCTGAATTAACAATAACTTACCTCAATTATTTCAATTTCTCTATTTACACAAGCACCACCATAATCCATTTTGTCTACAACCTACTAAGCTCGCAACCAACTCATCTCTTTCAGCTGTAGCAGCAATCAGATCAAAGCTTCACTCCCAGCAATAATCAGGTCAAAGCTTCACTCCCGGCAGCAATTATATATTAATTTTCGAAAAATTTGGATCTCGTCTTAATTGATTTGCAGCTTACTTATCAGCGTGTATGCTCCTTGAATATTTTTCTAGAACAAAATTGAGGAATAAATTACTAATTACATTTTTTGTTGGTGTAAAAAATTAGGAGGGAAAAATTTTAATGAGATTTTGGGGAAAAAATTTGGTGAAAAATTTGGAGAAATAACTCCCCGCCATTAATTTGGGAGATTTGGTCTTCCTCAAACAAAAATATGGGTTTCCTTACGGACATTATAAAGGTCCCCCCATGCTCACTTTTTTTAGTGTGTTTTATTACCTGATGGGGCCCACATGTACTACACCCTTTTTATTTGATTTCAGAAAAATTAATTTTCTTTTTTTTCCACTTAGTTGAGTCATTCATGCCTCAACTTAGTTGAGGATGAGAAATTCTCATCCGTGAGTGCTCAAACCACAGTACATGGCCGATTCTTCTTCCTCCATTATCTCACCTCCATTAGCAGAAATTAAAAACCTTTAATAGAGAAATCGAATAGTAAAAACAAGCTTCAATGGAGAAGGAAGACAAACCTTTCGCTAAAGGGTTAACCACTAGCGAAGCCAGCACGGGACAAGGGGGATAGCTGTCCCCCACTTTTCCTAAAACAATTTGTTTAAATACATACATCTTGCCTAATATTTTATGTCAAATGAAGATAGAGCAGCGGTCAATGTCCCACTAATAGAGTCTTGAATTCTTGTCGACGTGGGATCAATCCCTGATGTACTGCTTTAGGTTTTTTTTCCTTCTTTTTTTAAAGTTTTTTTTAAGGAGAAATATAGTATTTCTTCTTTTTTTTTCTTAAACAATTATGCCATATAATTATTTGGATAATTCTAATTGTAGTTTTGCACAAACACTACCCAAAATACGGTTATAATAGGGAATTATGAACCGTACATTTGATTGGCTACATTATTTTGTGTTCGAATTCTTCAAAAATTCTTGATAGGTTGTCATACACTTGTCAAAAATAAATTCCTAACAAAACCAACTAACAATGTAGTAGGGTAAGTAGAGTCGAATACACAGAGAGATGGCTATTTAATCTAACCTTTAAGAATTTGGTGAAACTAAACTATGTCACAAAATTGGATAAAAAGTGTAATCTAAATCAAAATAAGAACAAAACAATTAATAAAAACATTTAGGGTTATGGTTCACCATGTTTATAGTTCTAAATCTATCAAATATCAATAATAATTCAATCAATCAATTATCTA